CATGATAACTTATTTTAATTATAACTGCAATTTATGATCACGGACACACACAAATATCTTTCACATGGTAAAATAGAAATCACAAGTATGTTATAGTTTACGTAATAGCCGTTGTTTGGTCCTGACGGCGCTGCAGATGTTAACAGACGTTTTGCTGCAAACATAAGATAGCGGCTAGCGGTCCATAGTTATACATATAGTCAAAGATCTTCACTTCCGCGACAATTCGCTCCGTCCATGTATTATTACGTCCATGACTCTTGTAGAGTCTTTGTACAATGCCAGGCTACAAGCAATAGGAATAAGTATTAGCAGAGAGAAGAATGAGAGTGGTCATGCCCGCATTTAAGGTTGGTATTCATAGTCGAATCTTATTTCAAGACCATTTTAAGTAATGTCTTAAGATGCGAATACGGCTCTGTGATTGGTTTATGACATCTTAAGATAGTACTTAAGATGATCTTAAATATAAGATCTGACTATGAATACCGGCTTTAGAGAGTTATGGGAAAGTTGACTGATTTGCAGCGCCTCTATGTTCATTTTTTGTGGACATTGAACTACTAAGCCAAATCTATGAAATCTATAAAAATTTATAAAATAAGTTTTAAGGCGGTTGTAACTTTTTGAAATAATGACTCGCAATTAGTTGAGCAAAATTCGCGATGTGCTTATTCCGTTCCATAGGGACTTAAGAGCTCCTGTTTCAATGCTAAAAATGACGAATTTGTACATATATATTACGCATCCATTGTTAAATTCATGGCATAGCGGTTATGTTGTGCTGCATATTAATAAATTTGGCCAACTGGATTGTTTGTTCTTCTTAATATGAGATTATATGGGCCCACGTCTATGATTAAGTTTACACGGCAGCTTAAAACCGGTTTAGTAACAACCGTATTTAGTAAATTCTCTCATCCGATTGGTATATTCTTTTAGATTTTTTAGAGAAATATATCCAAATCGAGTGAGTCCCAGATGCGCACATTGACGTACACATCCAATCATATGTCGTTGTTTATAGAGTCTCTAGAATATCTCTAGGCATATGGCGTTGTGGTTAGCTGTGTCCGTTAGTCAATGTGCTATCACGGTCCCCTAAAATCGGATTCAAGAGTTCACTAACTACGGTAGTTACTAAACCGGTTTTAAGCTGTTGGGTAAACAAAGGGTGCTTTCCAGTTGCGTACACTGTGTTACACAAAACCAGCTTATTGATTGCATATTATCTTACAAGATATTTTAGATAATATGTAACCAATAAACTGATTTTGTGTACGTGTATGTCAAGATGTGTTAACCAATTGGAAAGCACCCAAAGTCAATGATAGGAGTCTTGTATGATAGGAGTATGCATATATTACGCAGTCTGCGACAAAACTATTCTGCAAATTCCGCTAAAAACTGCTGAAAAACGCGGATCGCTCGCAGGGTTGGGTTTTTCGAACATTTTCTAGGGTTTTTTACATTATACGGTAAAATACGTATAATACGTATAAAAACGCATAAAACGTGTAATACCTAGGATTGATATAAAAACAGAAACTATTGATTGTCATCTACGTAGGCTGCGTTCCGAAATTAACTGCCAGTACTGAAAGTATAACGTCATAAAGTAGAACTGCGGATCCGTTCCGTAATTACTGATGCTGCTTTTCAGCTTGTAATGCAATCAATAACGGAACGGACTCGCAGTAGAAATATTCAGTATTGTGGAGGTTAAGATAAACAAGTTTCATAGATAATTATGGATCAAACATAGCGTGATATGGAGATTGTGATTTTAACAAAAGTTGTAAAATATGTAATAGAATCTTCTGAAAGTTCTTCAGATAGCGAAGAAGATGATATATTTTTAAGGACTCTTAATAGAAATTTGACTCCACGTTTTCGTTGCAAGGACTATGTTGAAAGTGTTATACCATTGTATACAGACGAGGAATTTCAAATGCACTTTCGGTACAGAAAACAATATACAATTTTTACCTAATGTACATCAAACGCATGTAAAAGAAATATGATAAAATGTGCCATTGATTATTAAAAAAAAAAAGTAATATCAAGAAAATGGAATTTATTGTTTCAGACTTAAACGAAGTACTTTTCAATTCTTATTTAAATTATTAAATCCTAAATTAAATAAACAAAATAAAATAAAAATAAAATAATTATAAAAGTAAAATAATTATTGATTATTACAAACTTATACCTGTACGTGCTTTCTCAGCATCTTCACGACTAACTGTTACATTATATATTTTATTACTTTCTGAACATATGAGGCTTAACGTCTCATCACAGAGCACCGCCATTTTTTCACTGCTGGTGTCTTACCTCGCCAGCCGCAGTAACGAAAGCAGGAAATTACGTCAAAATATATGACGTCACGTGTTAACGAAAGTACATTGAAAGCTTACTGCGACGTATTTCGGAACGACTTTGCAGTACTGCAAGTACTGACAGTGAGTTTCGGAACGCAGCCTTAGTTGATAGTTTCTGTTTTTTTACGAGCGCGAGTTCTGATTGGCTTTCTATCTTTCTGCTTTCTGCCAAGGCGAATGCGCCTTAACTTATTGCACTTATTGCATCAGTTCAGGTAGTTCAGTTAAAACAACAGACCTTTTTTTTAAATGTTACTCTACTAATTGAGTAGGATTTCTGAACGCAGCCCTTATTTTTTAAATAGTTGCGTATACGTAAATTTTACTACGCAGGTTTAATCATGCCATAAAATAGCTGCGTAATGAAAATTACATATACGCAGAAATTTCGAGAATAGGAGCCCTGTACTGCTGAAATAAGTTGGAGTGAGACAAATATATGTTTGTCTCACGCTTTCCAGTGAGAAATGACTTATCGATCGACGTCGAAAAGACGTCGAATCGACGTCAAAATTGTCAAATCGACGTCGATTCGACGTTTTTTCGACGTCTATCGCTAAGTCATTTCTCACTGTGTTATTGCACCAGTGCAACAGTGCAACGAAAAAGAACAGACTTGATAAAAGCACCTCTAAAAATGGCTTTATAAGCTTTGTGATTGGCTATCAGCTACTTTTAGAAACGCTTTTAGCGATAAAAGAGAGTTCAAAATATGGAACTTAGAATAATAGTAATGACGCTAGCAAATCCCCTATAAAGTCTGCACTCTGATATTTACTGCAAATACTGAAAATCTATAGTATACGTGACATAAATTATAGATTTTCAACACTGACTGTGAATACCGGAACGCAGTTAAAATTAACTGTACACATGATGTAGAGACAGATAATGGAGCCACAGGAAGTATAATATGTATAAAACTAAATGTATTATACTTCATAATACAATGTATAATACAATGTATAATATCTCAGTTTAATACGTGCCCAACCCTAATCGCTCGTGATTGGTTCCGCTCTCGTTCCGCGCTCCGCTATTCCGCTGCATAGTTTGCACCCTTCTGGAGGATTCACACCGCGTCCGATATCCTCTGTACGACATCCGATATTCAATAAAAGAATAGCTCTCCAATGGAGAATTGAATTCTATATTAGAAAGCTGTTTTCCTATTGGATATTGGACGTCGTACGGCGAACATCGAACGCGATGTGAATCTTGCATTAGGCTGATATTACATACAACGTACAACAAGCTTTTCGGATACGTTTATTGGTTGGTATAGAGTATTTCTAGGTTCTCTATTCGACAACCAATGAACGTATCCAAAAAGCTTGTCGTACAACACATGTAATATCAGCCTAATAGCTCTTGCATACAAGACGCGGTAATGTTTGCCACGTGGTGGAAATTCGCGCAACAGCCAATCAATATGCTGCTTTCCGTAATAACCTTCTAACTCTTAAGGAAAAGCAAGATATTGATTGGCTGTCGCGCGGACTTCCGCCGCGCGGCAAGCATTACCGCGTCCTGTGTGCAGAAGCTATAAGGATGCCGTCCCACGGATCGGAACGCCGGATCGGATTTCTTACTATAATGAGCGTTCCGTTCTCTAGTTCCGTTCCGTAAAAGTTTCCTCTACCAGTTCCATGTAGCAAAAACGGAACGGATTTCTAGTTATAAAATATATTTCACTCTTCAATTAAATATTTCAGAATATTCATGACAATGTTATCGACAAGATAATTGCATAAATTATGTATATAATTAATTCTGTCGCGTCAAAATAACGAAATATTGACGAATTAATCATATTTATTTGCGACCGACGCGCCATTCCGTTCCGTTTTTGCTACATGGGACTGGTAGAGGAAACTTTTACGGAACGGAACTAGAGAACGGAA